ATGCACTTTATGCCAAGTAGGCTGCGTCCAAACCTCCTTGTCCTTGACCTATATATACTATAGCTTACACTTGTTGTCAATCACAATAGTCAATAGTGATTACTGGAGTGATACTGGTTCGGCGGTCAACTACAAAATGTCCTTGACGCAAATCACAGTTTATAGACTTTTTATTTTATCCGCATAATCCATTTCCTGCTATTGTTTTTGATAGGTGACATACACTTGAAACAAAATTGATAATAATAAATTAAAGAATAATTAGTTTCCCTCGAGTGCATCTTTTCAACCGTCATCTATTTTAGTGTTGTGCGTGCATGTCTGCATGCAGCTGACAATTTCAAGACAATGTTATTGTAGCAATATGCCAATAACCAATGGCAGTGCGGTAAAAATTATTTAGTGGCAAACATGCTCCCAGTATATGCAACTACGATCGGTAAGTGAAACGGTAACCAATGGCAATGCGATCTTTTGTTAATTCAGTGTTACTATAGAGTATATAGAGTATAGATATAGAAACTTTCTTCTCTGGCTGTCTTTCCTTATTGCCCATTTACACGGTGACTTGCATCAATTTTTCAAACGTATATACTAGCTATCTCACAACTAGGATTATCATGTGATCTCATGTGCATATTTTCTCACTTGTTCTTAAAATTATGGTATACGGTATTGTTGAAAAATTCTACATTTTGCATGCGAAAAACATGTTATAGTAGAATTAATATGAAAATAAAATATGAAAATAGTTTTTCGTATTTCTGAGAATGAATCCGCTGTAATAGAATCTGCATGTCCTGACTCCTGGGCTGTAAGAATCTGCACGTCCCATTGCCCATTGGCATTGCCATTGGATAACTCGCTTTGGCTCGATAGCCGAATGTAATATTAGTTACCGTATTTGTAACTATTTTCAGGTAAAAGTTATGATGGAATTTCAAATGCCTTCTATATACTTTTCCTCACAAAGCAAAGGAAAATGCATGTTTATGTGTATGCATGTATGGCAACAGTGATGCCTGGGCTTGGTGGCGTGTTCCTGCATGTGTTCAAAACCTACTCCGCAATATTCCAATGTTATCTGTTATTATGACTTGTTTGCAAGTCATGAAAACTGAAACAGAACTACGCGGGTATATAACTTATAACACTAAAACATACTGTAAATAATAAAATGGCACGTTTTCATCACATGTATACGTTCAACGTGCATTTTACGATCATCACTATATATAATCACATTGCATGCGTGTTTCACATCTGTGGTTAACTGGTGGTTATATACAGCACATTGTTTTGTTCAGACATGCACTATTGAGCGAATACATGCATCGCTATACAATTGCATGCATGGCATATTGGCACATGCCCTTCGTTTGTTATTTGACGAATGGAAACAAAATGGTCCAATAACCAGTTATTCCACAGTATATATCCAGTCCGAGATGGAGTACTCGCCTCAACATGGTGAAACTTGGCCTGGGCCCTGGATACGTACGAGGTTGCAGATTTGTAAAATGTGACAAAAAGGCCATTGTGATACAAATGAACGAATAAATTGTAAAAAGTTCACATTTTCATTTATATGCATTCAGCATTCTATATCACAAATCATACATTTTCTCGCCAAACAACACGCTTTGCGAGAAAAATCTGGGGAGGCCATAGATTATTTATTTCATAGACCATTTCAGACCATATCGTATCTATATACTGACGAAGTGTACCAAATGTATATGAAGGCATGCGCACACAGACTGTTACCATTAG